CCATCGGCTTTCATTTGTCACGGACGCATCCGTGAATAAATGTTTTTATTTTTCAAAAAAAAAATAATTACTTGTCACGGAATTATCCGTGACAAATTTTAAAAAGGTTTTTCAAAATAGAGTGGGCGGGTATTTGAAACGGTCCGGAAAATTCAAATTTTAAATTTTGTCACGGACATATCCGTGACAAAATATTTTGAAAAAAATTTGAAAATTTTAAAATAGAGTGAGCGGGAGCTTTAAAATTTTCAAAAAATTCAAAATTTTGAATTTGTCACGGATCCCATCCGTGACAAAACATTTTTTTTTAAAAAAAAATACGTTAATTTAGCGTGAATTTATATTTTGTCACGGAACAGTCCGTGACAAAATTTTAAATTTTTTAAAAAAAAATTTTAAAAATTCAGCGCATTTTTAAAAGTTTATTTCAAAAGTTTATTTAATAAAAATAACCATTAAAATTTAGGCGCTTTTTCAAAAAATTAAACTTAATAATAAATAGTTAAACAATAATCATAATAAATAATTGTTTATAATAAATAATTAAACAATCATCATTAATCACCATTACACATTAGGTATCATAATAAATAATAATCTAATCAAACCATCATTATAAAACACAAATAAACTATTATTTAAACACAATCAAACCATTACACATTAATATTCATACATTAACACATCAAAATTTTAAAATCCTTAAAATGTTAATAAACTAATTATTACAAACCATCAATGGTCATCATAATCAGCATCAGCATCAGCATCATCAGGTTCGTCACGATGATCGGGTTGCCTTCCGTGGCCACGGCTGCCACCACGATGACCGTCTCGACTGCCACTGCGGCTGCCAGCACGGCTGCTGCCACGGTAAGCTTGAGCTCCGGGAGTCGGGATATCGTCATAATATCCATATGGAAAGTTGTTGGAGATGTGGCTATAATTAGCAAAACCCCTACTACCCATACTGCCCATGTTGCCCATATTGCCCGCGAAGGGAACTTGTGGGGTCATCTCGGGGTGCTGTATGTGCATGGATGGACGGTAGGTGGCGTTGAAAATACGCATTTGGCGTTCCATCTCTTCCAACCTTTCTCTTGTTCTTCTTTGCTCTTCATCCCGTATCCGAGCTTCTTCATCCCGCCTTCGAGCCTCGGCTTCACGTTCCTCCAATAGTTTCTCGAGGCGGGTAACCCGATCATCATATGCCGAATGAGAAGATGAGCTAGCTCTTTTGGTCTTCTCGAGGATCCGTACGCCTTCAGAACCCATAAACGGCACCCGGCCCTTGTAAACTCCGGATGCCGCCAAGATGGCTTCATCATCTTGATTTTCATCAAGTTCGGCATCAGAATCAGCTAGCTCATCAACTCTCTTACCCCGCTCTTCCTCATATTTTTTCTACAAGTTCAAAAATTTATTATATAAGAGATCTAAATAAATCGAAATTTATTGAATTATGTTTCATTATTTACTTCAATTTCAGAAAGGCGGGGAGGCGGCATGGCACCCTTCTTAGTCCAGCAATGTGCCATGAGTTTCAATGGCGTGACCCGTTTTGGCACGGGTCCAGATCCTTCCTACACGAATTTCAAAGTTAATAAAAAAATATATATACATAATGGTATGGAATGGAAATAATTTTAACTAAATAGAGTTTACCAGATCTTTTTTATGTTGACTTTGGGGTTTGCGGCCCCCGTGCCATTGAACTTCCTTGGCTTTATCGGAAGCCCGATTTGCCTTGCCCATTTCGCTTCTCAGCAAAAATGAGGCATCCGTAGCCCAGTGGCGGCAAAGCATCTCCCACACATCATCGCCAAGGAACTTTGGCTTTTTACCCGTAGACCGGGCGGTCCTAAAAGTGGGTCTCAACCACCCAGAAATCCTAGAATTGTATTCTTTGAGAATCGCTTGGTCTAGGGCAAAATGCCAACGATGGGAAGCCTTCATGAAAAACATTGATATATCATCATTTCTTAAATTTAAGTTACTAAAATGTAACAAAAATATTTATTTTTACCTTGAACAACCGCCACAATAGTTCACGAGTGGCCGCCGGAACCTCACCATAAGTCGACCACGGCCCGGTGAAATGACCACAAACGATAGCCTTGATTCTATTCAAGACCTCGGAATCGCTTCAAAAAATTGATAATTGATAAAAACAATTGTATTAATTCTTAGATAAAGAGATTATACTAGTTTATATTACAGAATGTTAGTTTTTTATTACCTATGGATCGATTGAGGTGTCACCTCAAGCGAACCGGGATTGTGGCGCTCTTCTTGAGTGGGGGGGGGGGGGGGGGGGCATATATTGCACGAGATGAAGGAGGTGCATGAGATGATGCCCCCTCCCCATGCACGCTTATATGAGCGTCTGATTGTTCGGAGGGAGGAGTTTGGACATGTCCGTCAAGAGCTTGTCCTTCGTCGGGATTGATATCATCATTGATATCACGATCAGCATTTGAGGCCCGTCGTGAATTCTGACGCCCACGACGAGCAATGGTGGAAAGGCGGCGTTCGTGCTCACTCATCTAAAATTATTGAGAAATAATATATAGAACATATTAAACTGGTGTTTAATATGAGAACACATTAAACTTGAGTTTAATATGAGGGGTAGAATGTGTTTTTTGTATGATTTTTATGTTATTGAATTTCATGATGTTAGGTATTATTTTATGGTGTTTTTGTGTGGTATGAAACTTTGATAAATATAACATATTAAACTTGAGTTTAATATGAGGGGTCGAACAAGTTTTTTGGATGATTTTTATGTTATGGAGGTAACTTGTGTTGTGTATATTTTTTATGAAACCTTATATAAAATCAATTGATCAAACTTTTTAATTTAAACTAATAAAATCAGTTTTTCCCTATTAAATTATAAATCATCGAAAATCAGTTTTTTGCATTAATTCAGAAAAATACAATTTATTACATCTTGTATTTGGTATTATTTATAAAAAACAGTTTTCTAAAATCAGTTTATGAAGTTTTTGTGTGGTATCAATGGTTTAAACTTATTAGTTTCCTATTTATTCATCAAACTTTGAAATATAGAACATATTAAACTTGAGTTTAATATGAGGGGTAGAATGAGTTTTTTGTATGATTTTTATGTTATTGAATTTAATTGTGTTACGTGTTTATCAATCTTTGAAATATAGAACATATTAAACTTGAGTTTAATATGAGGGGTAGAATGAGTTTTTTGTATGATTTTTATGTTATGGAATTTATTTGGGTATGGTATTAATTTATAAAAAACAGTGACCTGATTTTTAAAATCTATAAAATCAATTTTTTCAAAAAAAATTTAAAAATCAGTTTCATTTTTTGTTTATTCATGAAACCCATAAAATCAATTTTTCATGAAACATATGAAATCATTTTCGTATTATATAAACAAAAACAGTTTGTTTGGTTTTTTATTTCTATTTTAATATATAAAATATATTTTTTTACTTCATTTCTGTTTTATGTTATTTATGAAACAACGTTTTATTTAAAATAAAATATTATAATATCCGAAATTATTTAAAAATCAGTTAAATGATCCAAATTTTTTTAAAGTGTTTTATAATATTAAAAAAATAATATAATATCCGAAATATTATAAAAAAAATAATTAACAGTTTCATTATTTTGTTGGGTTAGACATGTTAACTTTTTTGAAAGTGTAACATGAGGGGGCGAAAATTAATGGAGTTGAAATTATTATTCTTAATAAATATCTGAAATTAACAAAAACTCAAAATAACCTTGACTGAAAATTTAATAATTAACTATTCTAAAGCAGGCATTCTTAAATTAACAATATCTAAGGCATATTTAAAGCCTATACACAAATGATACACATTATGATACACATATGAATATGAAGAAGAACATTTAAACATGCATGAATATTAAGAAAAACATGCCTTATATGGAAATTACGACTATTCGGATATGAATATTCGGAAAACATGCATTATATCCGTGTAATCCGACTATAATTAAAAAAATGCAATAAAATTACGAGCATGCATATGAATATTCGGAAACATATAAACATTAAAACAATATTAAGAAAAACATGCATTAAATAAATAAATTTACGAGCATGCATATGAATATTATGAAAAACATAGAAACATGCATGTATATTAAGAAAAACATGCATTAAATAATTAAAAACATGCCATAAAATTTCGAGCATGCATATTAATATTCGGAAACATGTAAACATTAAACATATACACATATTCAATGCATGATAACTTATTAACATATACACATTAAATTAAACAATTAAAGAATATTAAGAAAAACATGCATTTACTTTTTGGCATTTTAAAACATTTATTCTAAAATATTCGGAAATTAAAGAGTTAGAAACATAACCTCGGAGAAGAAGGCAAGAAATGAAAGGGAAAGAAGAGAAGGCCGGCTTCGAAGAACGGCGGCAGGGGTGGAGATAATCTGCGGTGGCCGGTGAGATGTGTGCGGCGGCGGTCAGCGGGTGTAAGAGAGGCAGAAGGGCGGCGGAGTGGGAGGCGTTTGGGAGGGTGGCGGTCGGCGGGTGTAAGAGAGGCAGCAGGGCGGTGGAGTGGGAGGCGTTTGGGAGGGTGGCGGTGGGCGGGTGTCGGAAGGCGTAAGGGAGTAGTGGGAGGCGTTTAGGGTTGCTGAAGGAATTGGGAAGCGTAAGAGAAAAAAATGGCTAAGTGTCGTTTATATATTAGGGGTTGTCACGGACCCGTCCGTGACAAAGCCCGTGAGAAATTAATTACGGATTTTTAAATTTGAAATTTGTCACGGATTAATCCGTGACAAAGTTATCGGAACTTGTAAACTGCGGAACAGCAGTCGAGGCGGCAGGGAACGGCAGACGAGGCGTCAGAACGGCAGGTTGACCGGTTTGTCACGGATTCATCCGTGACAAATCCGTGACAAAATTCAAAAATTTGAATTTTGTCACGGATTTGTCACGGATGAATCTGTGACAAACCGGTGCAGGGAATATTAAAGCTTTTTCAGCCTTAATCAGACGAGGCGTCAGCTACTTTAATTGTCACGGACCTATCCGTGACAAATTTAAGTATAAATATGTGCTTAGAGTCCCATTTTTTCGGTGCGAAAAAATGGCTAATCCAGAACCAGATGTGTGGAAGTTTATCAGTAGAAGTGTACAAAGATTAAAACAAGTTACACAGTTGATGAAGCCTCGAAATGCAGAAGCAGTTCAAAGCATCCGTGAGCTGATGAGTAGACCGCTTGAAAGCTTTGGCGATATTATAGACTATGAATCGGACTCATACAACGTTTCACGAGGGAAAAACTTGCGAAGGGCACTTTTACGTGCAGAACAATGTTCGGAGTATATGATACCTATAAACGCGGAAGCTGCAGAAAGAATTAACGAGCTACTTGATAGGCCTCTAGATGAAAGTTTTGACGCTAATGAATAATATTGTGTTTATTTGTTTATCTGTATTGTGAGTTGTTGAATGTAATAAATGATAAAAAATTGTGTGTTTTCTACTTAGTTTTTAAATTTAATAAATAAATTCATGTTCTTGTTTATTAAATTTCGAATTATTAAAATTTTGTAATGTTAAAAAACTAATAACAAATAATGTTAAAAAACTAATTTCCGAATTTTAAATAATGTTAAATTTCGAATTATTTAATTTTCGATTTTCGAAATTACCTAATTAATTTTAAATTTACGAATCGATAATAATGAACCACTAATTTTCAATTGAATAATTTTAAAAACTTAATTTTATTAATTAATTAATCGCTATTTTACAATATAATATGGAATAATTATTTTGTTTAGAAATGATAGTTGCGAATTACATACCTAACTATTATATCTTGGAATAATATAATAATGACGAAAGAAAGTTAAAAATTCAAATTAAAATAGTTCAATTAAAAGTAATTACATTGGTTGTTAACTATACATTTAATCGCTATCAGAATCAGTATTTTCTTGATAGGCAACTTCTTCTTCTGTATCTTCATCACCAGATATCCATTCTTCTTCTTCCTCCTGGTCATCGTGCAGTTGTTGTATATATAATTCTTCAATTTCGCGCTCATTTTGAGGTATAGGGGGCGGAAGGTGTGTTTCAGGCATAACTTCAACATCTCCGCCATTTGGGTCACTTAACTGAATGTTATGGTTGACCGTATCAGCAATAGGCGGAGGGTGGAAAAAATCTTGCTGAAAAGCATCAAAGTCAATATCCCTTTGTTGAGCCTGTGTTACAATTTTGCTCGGACGGATATTAATGGCACACACCCAAGGATTCCGTGTGCGCCTCGTTGAAGGATACTCTGCATAATAAACCTGGGCTGCTTGTTGAGCGAGTATAAATGGCTCATTTTTCTGATACACACGAGAGTGGTTGACGTCAATTATATTATATTTTGAATTTTTTCTCACACCACGTGTAGGGTCGACCCATGTGCAGCGAAACAACACGCATGTTAATTCTTGCAAACCAGAAGGCATTTGAAGTTCGAGAATCTCATGCAAGAAACCAAAAAAATTGGTTTCCGAGTTATCAGAACCGATGGTCGGGACACATAACCCGCTGTTCATTGTTGGTCGACCTTCTCCATATTCAACTGTGTGATACGTATAACCGTTTATCACATATGAATGCCAAACCTTTGCATAGGAAGAAGGGCCCCACGATAATGATACTAACAGAGGGTCGTTAATCCCACGGTACCTGATCTGCAAATTAAAACATGATAACATTAGGTAATGATTAAAAATTACTAGCTAATAGTATATATAATGTATTTATATATATATATATATATATATATATATATATATATATATAATACCTGCTGTTGGTACCATAATGCAAAGTCAGAGTCCACCATTGCATCAATTGCATCATCAGGAAATGCTGATAAAGACGCTCTAAATTCACTGTGAATTGAACATAAAGATATTATTATAACACTCTAATTATTAAAAAAATATTAGCTATATTACAAATGTAACTACCAATTCAACTTACTTATAAAATGGTAAGATTTCTGGACAATTAATGAGGATGTAAGTATGTGCAATTTTCATTTCTCCGCCCACGATGTAACGGTAAGTCGCAGCTCCTTTACCTCTACCTGGGTAGTTGAAAATAGAAACTACTTTATCATATGAATCCTCGCCAATGTCATCGTTCCGAGCAGGTCTCTTTCTTTTACTGATTACTTCACGCTCAAAATAAAAAGATGAAAACGTTGAGGTTTCTTGTTGAATATATGCTTGACAAATTGAAGCCTCAATGTGTGCCTTGTTGGTCGTTTTCTTTTTCAAATCTCCCAGAAATCTGTCATGCAAAATAAAATTTGTAAACAAACAAATGTTCTTATTAAACAAATCATCGTTTATAAATGAAATTATGACTAACCTTTCAAATCTGTACATCCAACGATAGAAGACGGGCCCTCCATTCAAAGCCTCATACGGAAGATGTATTAGAAGATGTTCCATTACATCAAAAAATGATGGGGGCAGTATCTTTTCCAGATTACACATCAGAATAGGAACAGTGTCTTCTAGTCTCCTCAGGGATTCGGCATCCAAAACGGCGGAACATATCGACTGAAACAATTGACTGATTTCGGTAATACAGCCCCAGACGTCTGCATGAAGCATCTCTTTCAGTGCAATCGACAGAAGTCGTTGCATGATTACATGAGCATCATGAGTTTTCATGCTCGACGTCATTGTTTGTTTGTCCAGGTCCACGCATCTTGACAAGTTAGAACAATAGCCATCTGGAAAGTTCAGAGAAACAAGCCACTCTAATATTGATTCCCTTTGTGGGGCTGTGAGTTGGTAGACTGCTCTTGGAATTTTTTTACCCACGTATTCTAGATCGACGGCGAGTTCGGGTCTGTCGCACCAAATTGTCATGTCTTTTCTAGATGCAAGACCATCTTTGGTTTTGTGGGTAAAATCCATAACCGTGTTAAATATATTGTCAAAGACGTTCTTCTCAACGTGCATGACATCTAAATTGTTACGAATGAGAAGGTCCTTCCAATACGGCAACTCCCAAAATATACTTCTCTTTGTCCACTTATGGGTATCACAATACCCATTTGGCTCCCCGTGGGGTTGCTGCACGGCCGTAGGAAAACGTCGAACCCGGTTAAAAACTTGTTCACCTGTAAGTCTCGGAGGAGGGGGATCTCGTACCACTCTTCCGGCAATAAAAGACTTCTTGTCCTTTCGATATCGATGGTTCATAGGCAGAAACTTGCGGTGACAATCAAAGTAACTTGGTTTCCCGCTAAATTTGAGCCAATTGGCCTCTGATTGATCCATACATATCGGACATCCCATAAGACCGTGTGTGCTCCACCCTGAAAGCATACCATAAGCAGGGAAGTCGCTAATGGTCCAAATGATGGCAGCTTTCATGATAAACATCTGATCTCTCGAAACATCATAAGTTGGTGTCCCAATGGCCCAAAGTTCTTTCATCTCCTCGATCAGGGGTTGGAGATAGATGTCTATCCTTTTTTTAGGATCCGAGGGACCTGGACAAATTAAAGTTAAAAAGATGAAATGACTTTTCATGCACATGTCGGGAGGAAGATTATAAGGAGTTAACATGACTGGCCAACATGAAAATTTCTTCCCAAACTTTCCAAAAGCAGCAAATCCGTCTGAACACAATCCCAGTCGCACATTCCGTGGCTCCATTGCAAACTGAGGATGACAACGGTCAAAGTGTCTCCAAGCTTCACAGTCGGAAGGGTGAGACATCAAACCCTCTTTGGTTTCGTGCTCAACATGCCACGTCATGTGTTTCGCAGTAGCATTTGAAGCATACATCCTCTGCAGGCGTGGAGCTAGAGGGAGGTAAAACAATTTAGACAATGCAGACCTTTTTCGTGGTTTTTTTCGTCTATGAGGAACAGGCTTGTATCTCTCTCCACCACAGAACTTGCAGGTCTCAAGTGCCACATCATCCTTCCAGAACAACATACATCCTTCTGGGCACGCATCAATTTCTATACAAGGAAGCCCCAACTGAGACATTAATTGTTTCATTTTGTAATATGAATCAGGAAGATTATGGTCACGCGGTAACATTCCTCCAAATGACTGCAATAACCTAGACATGCAAGATTCAGGAAGATTGTATTCAGATTTAATGTTCATCAACTCTGTAACGGCGGATAGCTGAGAGTATCCCTCACAATCAGCATACAGAGGCTGATCAGCAGCTTTTAAAACATCTTGAAATCTTTCAGCTAAGTCTTCAATATGAGGAACATGAGAATTCGGATACTCATCCGCAGCAGACAAATAAAAGGTCTGATCTTCATCCGCATCGGGTTGATACGAGGTCGAAGCTTCGGGAAGATCGTTAAATGGCTGTGGTGGGTTAAACTGCATCGTTGAAGCACCGTATACATCATATGCCATTCTTTGATCCCACGTAATTTGATCATAGTCTCCCCATCCACTCATCTCGGTAGGGACGTTACGAGATGAACCCACTGTTTGCGGTAAAAGTGATGGATCGAAAGGTTCACCATGAGAAGTCCAATTATAATAATTGGCAACGAAACCTTTTTCGTACAAATCCCACACAACTTGGTCGACATCTTTAAATTGAAGATTTTTACACTTTGTACATGGACATCTGATTTTATCTCCATCCATATAATTCTTCTGTTCTTGTGCAAATTTAATAAAATCTTCAACACCATTCAAAAATTCACTGCGTATTCCATAGTTATCACGATGTTTTTGGTACATCCAACTTCTGTTTTGTCTATACATTATGCCTGTATATATATTATAATCAAAATAATATATAAGTACATTAATATTATTAATTAACTAAAAGCAGTACATTATTTAATTTGTGGCATTAATAATTTGAATTAACCAACTTTAATTTGTGACATTAACTGAAAGCGTTGATTTACTAATATTTAACTAATAGTAATATGTTAATGGCATTAATCGTTTTAATTATTAACTACTAAAGTTTGAATCCTAACTGAAATCACTACAAATCCTAAATTATGCATTAACAATAATTAACTAATAAACAAATTAAACCTAATCATCATCATTGATCAATTAATTAACTAATATTTAAATCTAACTAATATTATCAACTCAAATTCCTCAATGTTTTAACTTAATTAATTAGTTAATTAATTTACATTTAACTAATATTATTGTTAAATATTATCTCATTAATAATTCACAATAATAATTCACAATAATAATTCACAATAATAATTCACACTAAACTAAATAAAATTAAAGTTTCAACCCGGCCT